TCCATAAAGCTGTGTCTATATAAATAACTATAGTAGTCTAGAATCTCCAGTGGTGGAGCCTAAGGTTAATCTTATCTATTTTCTACACAAAATTATGTGTCAGAATGCAGCAAATCAATACAAGTAGAAAATCATTACGATTGTTCTCATAATAAAAACCAGAAGAAGGCATCAGACATCCAATTGGAGCATAAAAACTCCTTATTTTCAGATCTTAGAATTGTAAAATATTTTGACAATATAAAATAGAACAAATATTCTTTTCATATTTCTTTATCCTATTAATATTACAAAACACAAAATGATTTAATGGTTAATGTGAATCACGTTATTATAGTAATTCATCCATATCTTTCATGGGAAACACTCGTTGTTTAAATGAAGGAAAAATAGTATAGACTATGGTGATATGAGCGAAATTTGAATGATGTGTACAAAATAAAATAATTTAAGTCCTTAACCCACAAAAACTGATTTGGTTCACTTGTCCATTTCAGTTCAACACAAATAACTGAGTAGATTGTTCATCAAACACATCTCGATGTCTTGTATGAAAACGACGTGTTGGAATGACATTTTTTCACAAGCAGAGTCCTTTCTCGAAAACAGAACATGAAATATTTGGAAGACGTGGGAATGGGATGAAATCCGTTTTTATACCCTAAACATGTTGGGTGTCGTTTGTTACACGGGCTGCACTTTCCTGGGTCCGCACAGATCTGTTTATATTGCACATAATCACCTGCAATAAAGAATAAAATGGAATGGAAAAATGTTAAAGTGATTGCGGCCTTTTACTTATAAAGGGAATTCTATTGGTCATTATGGTCAAGGTAGGCTTTAAAATTGTAACGATCGGGTGACTACAAATTCTAACGATCGGGTGACTTCAGATTCTAAAGATCAATAGGCGACAGATTCTAAAGATCTATAGACCACAGATTCTAAAGTTCTATAGACTACAGATTCTAAAGATCTATAGGCTACAGATTCTAAAGATCTATAGGCTACAGATTCTAAAGATTATAGTCTACTGATACTAAAGATTATAGACTACAGATTTTAAAGATCTATAGACCACAGAATCTAAAGATTATAGAATATAGATTCTAAAGATCTATAGACTACAGATTCTAAAGATCTATAGACTACAGATTCTAAAGATTATAGAATACAGATTCTAAAGATCTATAGACTACAGATTCTAAAGATTATAGAATATAGATTCTAAAGATCTATAGACAACAGATTCTAAAGATTATAGAATATAGATTCTAAAGATCTATAGACTACAGATTCTAAAGATTATAGAATATAGATTCTAAAGATCTATAGACAACAGATTCTAAAGATTATAGAATATAGATTCTAAAGATCTATAGACTACAGATTCTAAAGATTATAGAATATAGATTCTAAAGATCTATAAACTACAGAATCTGAAAATCGTAGCAAAGGTGGGACAGGATGGGTTGTTTAAAAAAGACTTACATGGAGCTTTTGGTTCTTTTCTGGCACCACATTTTACATTTCTAAAGTTTTCACATCTTCCCGTTTTGGATGAGAACAGATCTGGATATGGACATTCTAAAACATATTTTGAAAACTGCCATGTACTTGATCGTTGAGAACAGTCAAAATACTGAGCGCAGCTTTCTTGACTCTCAATCTTAGCTCCAGGGTTATACAAACATAACATATCTAAATAATCTGAAATAATGAAACAAAAAGTTTAAAGGAACTGTGTCGACGTGGAATAAAGGGACCCTTTGACTCCACTTATAGCAAATTCGGGCACTTCTATATATATCATATGTCGACGTGAACATTGGGTACAGTGAGGGTAAAAGCTGGGAGAGCCCCGTCTCTTTTGTCTAGCTCAGGATTTGCAGTCTGACCATCATATCAGCATAAAGGTTTTTATCCATAGAATCCGAGGGCCCAGAATTGGTAAGTCCGTCTGTGAATGTATGGTTGGCTGAGAAAATTATTCAACATATCACTCATAAATTTTCACACCTGTTAAATTAATTAATGTACTACGACCAACAGTACTTACTAAATGGATTTTGAATGCAATCATTGGTACCATAGTTTTTAACATATTCACATGTTGATAGTACGGCATTGTAAGTCTGGGATGCCGGACAGTGGAAAGAGTAAGCAATTCCCGCACTGCATATGATATATCCTGAACAATCCCACGGTACATTCCTAGCGTATATACCTTCATCTAAACATAACCAATCTAAATGATACACTCCAAACTTTTTATTGGCTTCACAAAACGAAACCAAAAGAGGTGACACAAGAATTAGGAGTAATGTCTTCATTTTATCTGAAATGAATAAAATACATGACGATACATTAGATATCAAATAATTATATAGATGTCAAATATAAATTAGGCAATACCATATCATATTTGAATCAAACATATAACAATGAACTTAGCCTTATGATTTTACTATACCACATTAGATAATTATCAGATACGAATATAACAATCAGAATTCATGAATTTATTACACCAAATCAAAGAGTTAACAATCAAAAATCTAATAGCAAATATCAGATACATGTATTATGAAATAAATATCTTATATTAGATATCATATTTATACGATATTCAATATCAGATACATGTATTATGAATTAAATATTTTATATCAGATATCATATTTATACGATATTCAATATCAGATGCATGTATTATGAATTAAATATCTTATATCAGATATCATATTTATACGATATTCAATATCAGATACATGTATTATGAAATAAATATCTTATATCAGATATCATATTTATACGATATTCAATATCTGATACATGTATTATGAATTAAATATCTTATATCAGATATCATATTTATACGATATTCAATATCAGATGCATGTATTATGAATTAAATATCTTATATCAGATATCATATTTATACGATATTCAATATCAGATACATGTATTATGAAATAAATATCTTATATCAGATATCATATTTATACGATATTCAATATCAGATACATGTATTATGAATTAAATATCTTATATCAGATATCATATTTATACGATATTCAATATCAGATGCATGTATTATGAAATAAATATCTTATATCAGATATCATATTTATACGATATTCAATATCAGATGCATGTATTATGAAATAAATATCTTATATTAGATATCATATTTTGGGATGTTCAATATCAGATACATGTAGTATGAAATAAATATCTTATATTAGATATCATATTTAAAATATTCCGTTTCCAGTAAAAAGCGTGCGGATATCGGGTTTCCGGATTATCGGCAGCCGGATAAACGCGGCTCCACTGTACATGTATTATGAATCAAATATTTAACATTAGATATCATATTCATGTATTATGAATTGAAATAAAATATATTAGATAATATAACAGGTAAGAGTCAAACATATGATACCAGATATCAATTAAATAGTTTATATTATCATATATGAATTCGATATATCATTCTGACTTAGTGCACGAGGCTATGAATTGAATATTACGTAATATCAATGGTATTTATTTGCTATAACAATGGTACGGCTATCTATAATTGATGGATAGGACATTTCTGATAAACTGGTAAAATTGAATTTTAAAAGGTACATAATAGGTTATATTGATTGATCTTTACCTCTGATCAACTTGTCATAAAGCACACAACATATCTAATTCATGAAGCAGATTTAACCAACTTGATAATCTAAATGTATTCTCTTGACACATGTTTAAAGTTTTCACGACAATCTAGTATTATAATCGAATTGAACTTTCAATGTTTTATTGCATAACGATTGTTACCGGATAGTGGTTTTGTTACGGGAAAGAAGCTGGCACGACGCCCGACTTATTACATAAAACCGTTATTATAGAAAAAATCAAAGGCAATTCAATGTCCGTTAATGTAATGTTAATCTGTATAGACCTACTCATTGATCCGTTAAAGGGGTTGTAAAAAGGTTTTCTAAAAAAGAATTTGTGTATCTTGGAAACTGATAGAATCAATTTGCACCAGTCCAATTTTCGATAAAATTAAGTGTTTGATGAAGTCACTAATCGCTAAATATGCATTATCACATAATGTCCTTCGCTATTAGTGACGCCATCAAACACTTAGTTTCAGTGGAATTGCGGGAAACAAAGACGTCTGACTAAGAATTTGAATGATGCAAATTGATGCTATCTGAGTCCCCGATACACATAAATGTTTTTTAGAAAATCTCTTTACAATCTCTGTAAAAGTAATAGGCCACCAGATATAAAGACGCTCACAAAAACAATTATTTCGACCTATTTGATAGATCTGATACATTGTATTTTGTGAGAGGTACAATTGAGTAGGTACACCTGCCCTGTTATTTATAGTAAAAACTTATTCTAAACATAATTTTTTTTAACAATCTACATTTCCACTCTTTAAGGACCCTTAATGGGACAAGGCTACAACATCCAAAAATGAAACAAAGTTGAAATAAATCACTTTTTAAAAGAACGTGAAGGTATTTGACTGGATACGACGAGCAAAAAGTAAAAGCTTTATAATGATAAAGCAAAATAAAGCAAAAGATTAAGGACCAATAGCGAACATTACCTAAATTCAGTGGATGGATTTCCTCATTTTCTAGTGTCAAATTAAGCAAACTTTTTTGATGAAATGGTGTTTCTAATTAATTATCTTGTATTCTTAATCGTATCATTATGTTCTTATTGCATATAATTAAAAGTTTTAACCAATCATAAATGTCCATGTATGTACTTTTTGACCTTTCTTGATCGGTCACTCATTGGAATTCTGCTGGTAATTCTCTTCTTATTTAGCTAATTATGAATTAATTATGGACATGTGAGACAAACTGGTATTTTTCCAAGTCATTAGAAAACCTCTACTTTCTATTAATACAAGTATTAGCATTTTCATTTTAATAAATGAAAATAAGGGAACCCATCTTTAGTATATAACAGTACCTAAATACAGTTGGTTGTTTACTTCCTTTATTGTTAATATAGAATAGTACCTTAATACAGTTGGTTGTTTTTATATTTTATTGTTAATATAGAACAGTACCTAAATACAGTTGGTTGTTTTTATATTTTACTGTTAATATAGAATAGTACCTAAATACAATTGGTTGTTTTTACCTTTCACTATTAATATATAACAGTACCTAAATACAATTGGTTGTTTTTATCTTTTACTGTTAATATAGAACAGTACCTAAATACAATTGGTTGTTTTTATCTTTTACTGTTAATATAGAATAGTACCTAAATACAGTTGGTTGTTTTTATATTTTACTGTTAATATAGAATAGTACCTAAATACAATTGGTTGTTTTTACCTTTCACTATTAATATAGAACAGTACCTAAATACAATTGGTTGTTTTTATCTTTTACTGTTAATATAGAATAGTACCTAAATACAGTTGGCTGTTTTTATCTTTTAAAAGTTAATAAAGGACAGTACCTAAATACAGTTGGTTGTTTTTATCTTTTACTGTTAATATAGAACAGTACCTAAATACAGTTGGTTGTTTTTATCTTTTACTGTTAATATAGAATAGTACCTAAATACAGTTGGTTGTTTTTATATTTTACTGTTAATATAGAATAGTACCTAAATACAGTTGGTTGTTTTTATATTTTACTGTTAATATAGAATAGTACCTAAATACAGTTGGTTGTTTTTATCTTAATATTATGTTGCTCAAACTCGATGTAAAATTATTATGACTTACTTTAGTAGTAGTGTATCCTAAGGAGCTTTGTAAGTTGGGTATTTTCAATCCTCAAATAGACAGTCTTCATTGATGTGATCTGGTCATTAGTTAAAAGTACAATGCAGATGGCCCCACGACTGCCGTGTGTTTTAAACCAATTCACCAACAAACTACCTGTCTTTACTCATAAACAATCCAATAGATTCTCTTTGTGATTAAGGTCACTGCAATTATTGTAAGGGCAATATACTGCTCGTTATGTATGTCACTAGATCATGTAACTGTCATCTGAACTCTTTCATGTCATCAAGGGATTAAATCACCTAGTTTGTTCCTCTCCTCAACAAGATTATGATCATTATGATGTTTTAGGTGTCTGTACGTAACGACTTTAGTACATGGCATAAAAGCGTGATGCAATATGTCAATTATATCTTAAAACTGACATCAATAGTCCGAAACCATATGATCTACATTAAAACTTGGTGTCAATGAAATATACACAGAAGTAACTACACAACACAAAAACTCAATAAATTCTTAAAATGAAAAAAAAAATCAGGTATTTAGTTAAAATCTGTGTTCAATCTACTATCTAAAGCTTCATTGCATTTTTTAAAGATAATAAAATTATCACAAGGTTTCTAGCATTTTTATATCGGCTTATATCATCTTCTATATATGTGAATAAACTGGTTACCAAACATTATTTTGAGACTGTTAATCGTTTTTTAAAGGGGTACATAGAGTTTAAAAGTCTGGAAACCAGGGCAGAACTTTTCTCTCTGCTATCCCCCCTCCCCCGCCCCTTCAATAACTGAGGCTAGCCCGACAGCAAATTTTGGACGAAGATACGAAGACAAAAAGACAAAGGAGAAACAATAAGCGATCATCACCTTCAAAGTCGAAACAAGATCAATACAAATTGTTCTTCTACCACAACAGCACATTGGAAGGTTTCTTTGAAAATGGTCTTTCGTGTTATAAATATTTTGAATATATAAATATATATTGAGCCTAGGAAAAACAGAAGTTGTAAAACTGTCGGAATATTTCGGACAATATAGAATGGTTGACTGGCCAGGATTGACTCGTTTACGTCATGAGGACTAAGACGTTTACATTTGTAACTTTACATAAACACTACAGCTGTGAGACGGGTGTCTAGATCAAAATGAATGCACTCTGTACCACAAATATCCTATTCTTACTTCAACTAACATGGCATGTTTATGTTTCAGCGTGGCGAGCTGGTATATTATGTCGTAATATAAATTGAACAGATGATGTAATTTCAGTATTAAGGCATAACAAGGATAAGGAGTAGATAGTGTTTCTCTTCAACCTAAACTTACAAAAATTATTTTTCTCAACGCAAAGACATTAGTACTATTTGAGGCTGATATTTCAATTTTCTTAGAATTAATAGAAAAATACCAAAAAAATACTTGATTTGCCCTGTCTAATAGGTACAAATTCGAGATATGCATAGGTTAAGATGTGAGGTGTAGGGCTGTACCTGGTCATAATCTAAGAAAAATGATTTGTGTCATACAGGTTTTTTGGTTGGCTTAATTTGCC